GCTCTCTCACAAAAATCTGCAGTATACAAATTTGCACTTGTAAAAATGTTCAGACAAATCAGAAAATGGTACAGGGAAAAAAAAGTTTCAAATTGTTTCTTTTGGGATCCTTCACCATGCTATTTTGGATGTGTGCTTTTGTGGCAGCAGGCAGTTTGTTGCTTGAAGAAAGCTGAAATATTCTAGGAAGTCAGGCTAGCTGGATTTAGATCTTAAGCGATGCCAAAACTAATATAGCCTGTAACTAAGTGAGAGTGACTTTACACAGGGAATGTCAGTCACCCGTGGCTTTGTCTTACATTTTCATATGAACCTTTCAAAGAGGAAAACACAAACAAAACCCCAGAAAACTTGGTAGCTGCTTCCATCCAATGGAGTTGTTGCATCAGCCGGGTTGCTCCTCATCCTCAGCCTAGTGAGGGTCTGCTGGGGCTGGGGGCTGGACAGATGGGGATGGACTTGCTGGAGCATGGAATGCCTGCAGTGGTGGGAGCTGGGCTGGCCTGGAGTGCCCTCTCTTGGCTGCTGCACACCTCACATTTTAGAAAGGACGAGAAAGAGTCAGTCTGGTTTATCATTTCAGTTTTCCAGTGTGATGGACAGAGGTAAGCTGCGTTGGTTCTGTCTCCAGGTTTGCTTCCTAAGGCACTCTGACAGCTGAGCCTGGTGCCCATGGCAGTCAAATCGCTTGAAGCCACAGTAAAGTTACAGGTCCAGCACTGCATGTAGGACTCTCTTAACTTGCTGCTCCTGGGACTCTTAACATTTTAGGAGAGCTCAGGTTTTTAAGAGACCTCATACTGCTCCAAATCCAGGGATCCCAGAGGCAGCAACTGCAGTGGCCCCTGCTTGACTCTCCAGTGCTAAATGAATCCAGAACAAATGAGGCTCTGAAAATAAGAAGAAAAATTTGACACCTGGACTCCAGGAAACATTTGTGGATTTTGATGAGAAACATGAGGGGGGGAAGGGAAAACCTATGGTTCAACATAGTTAAATATATGGTGTGCTAAGTATGAATAAATTGTGACTATTTTAAACAAGTTCATATACTCCATGGCTGGCTTGGGCACAAAGGGAGAGACACCAGCTACAAAGTACAAGTTCTTTAAAGGGTTACCTGAAGGCCAGTGGCCTGGGCTGCTGAAGCTGCATGGCAGGGGGGCAGCTTTCAGGGTTTATACAAGTGGCAAACTTTTCTACATGTAATTCTTTCTTTTAAAAAAAGAGTTTGTGTCAGTGCTTGAGAGTTAAGGGGGGTTTTCTCCTCATAGCTTTACTTTGCAGTCCCGTTCCTTTCCTCATTGTTTATAAATGATTAGTTTGTGTAAAGGAATCCTGCAGTAAAGGTAAAATTTCCTCTTTAATGGTACCAAGCCTGGTTTATGATGATCTTGGAGGTCTTTTTGACTCTTAATAATTCTATTATTCATGTTGATTTCAAGATGACTGAGTTGCATGGGGCTGTCTAGTGCACTCTCCCTCTGCTCTAATGCAGTCACATAATAATTTCTTGAATTACTGAACTTGAGTCCCTTCTGTATCCCAAGTACCTTTGCAGCAACATCTCAGCTCTGGGTTTGGAGGGAGGGAGTTTCTCCCCAGTCTGTAAATGAGCCTTTCACTGTGAAGCAGAGCTGGAAATCTGGTCCTGACTGCTAGTAACTAAAAATCACTTACTATATGGCTTAATGTTAGCTAAGTAAAATGAATCTAGAGCCTCAGGGTGGGTGTGCAGTCACAGCTAGTGCTGTTTAGTAACTTGGAATGGTTTTAGCTGGTCTGTTAACACGGAGACAGCCCCAAAAGCCCAGTGTGGGAGTGAACTTGCCTTTTAACTATTCTAACTATATACAAACTGTACCTTTTGCAGTTAGTATAGAATCTGTTTTTCATCCTGGTGCTAGCCCTGCTTTCTTTCAAAAACAAGACAGCAACCCACACGGTCCAGTTGCACTCCCCATTTAGAAAATGGGGATGCAAATTTGATGTTTGCTGTCTTGTTTTAGCAGGTGGTGTTCTTTAGGATGGTCTTGGGCTCAAGCGTAAATCATAAGGCAAGATTTAAAAAAAAAAGTGTTCCTTTAGTTTTGATAAGGAAAGCACCATGCAATCCACAGTTGCAATATGTTTACATAATTTAATATGTTTACATGATTGTACAGTGAAATTCGGTAGGTCTGTGTCTTCTTGTTCAGCTTTTGTTGCATTCCTTATGGCAATGGCATTGTGATTCAGTCACTGGGATCAAACTCAGGTTTTACAGCACTGCTCGTGTTCCTGCCTTAGCTCTCACTGTGCAGTTTATCCCTTTCTTCTCTCCCTGTGCAACAGCTCCCTCTGCTTGAAATCAGCAGTGGAATTGTAACCCCTGTTTTCTGTTTGGCTGGACAACAGTTTTTAATATGGGCTCCTTTTTTAAGAAGATTTCTGCTGCTGCTCTTCATGAAGCAATTCCACTGCATATTGTGAAGCAGCAAAAATAACCACATTGTCCTCAAAACTTAACTGCATAAGAGCTGTTCCTTTGCAGGAGTTCTCTTCATGTTTATCATGAGGATTAAAGCTGGTTGGAACACTTTTTTCAGCTAAATTATCTCTTAACAAAACACGATGATTTACTGAGCAAAAATGTTTTTATTTCAGTGATAAGTTGAAACAGGACTGTTTCTCATCAGAAATGCAGTAGTTAGACCTTGAATATCTGCACATAAAAACTAATGGTGAGATTCTCATATCCTACCTAAATGGTTTGGATTCAGAACCCAAAAAAAGAGCAGCTTTGGATCAAACAGAGCAGGGTTTGAACCTGATCCCCAGTCCTCAACCAGTACCATAATTACTGGACCAGTCATTCACTCACAGAATTTTTGTCAGCTTATCTGCATGTATAAGGGTTTGTTTTGTTCATTTTTTATCAATATAGCTAAGCTAGCAAAAGTCATATTATAAAAGCTGTTGTGTCAGCAAAGGGGTCGTTTTGCTGAGAGAGCTTTCACCCATTTAGGGAACCAGCATAAACCTTCCTTGCCACGGCAAGATGAGCCCATGATAGGAAAACTTGCTGGTTTAGTTCTACAGTAAAGCTTTCCTAATGTGAACAGTGCCTTGCTTGCTGGAAAATGGCTGTGTTGACACAATCCTGGGTTTGCAAGAACATCCAAAAGGTTATTTTTAATTTGCATTGAAGCAAACCCCGAGACTAAAAACACCTCAAAAGTCTGTGTTTGTTCTATGGCTGTTGAGCTGGTTGGGGACAGAGGCAAAGCCCGATCTGAGCAAAGGGCAGCAGTAATTTTAATTGTTGAAATTCAACACTTAAAGCGAAACCTTTTTTTTTTATAAATATTTTGTAATTCCTATGGATTCTCCTTCTGAACTTCCTGCGTTTTGTTTTGCTTCTAAAAATTTCCAAACTGGATGCAGTGCATGGCTCTCTTGCTGTTGGAAACACATGGAATCCTTCCCCTGGGCACTGTGTGTGGCAGGTTTGGGCACAGACAGTCAGGCAAACGGAGCTCCTTGGCACAGGTTCAGGAGGCAGAACACAGAGAGGCTTCTGGGCTTGATTATCAAGACATGATACTCATAAAGAAGCTTCTTCTGTGCAGTGCGGATACCCAGGGTTTGGGAAGATTATAAAATAGCAGGATTAAGCAGTAGAACAGGAGAGAATTATTGCTGATACATGTTTACTTGAATCCAGCTTCATCGTGGCTTTTCCTGCTGAACTCTAATTTCAGGTCTCTAATTTCAGCCTTTTACAGATATTACAGTCATTGCCTCATATGTTTGCACATACCTTAAAAAACATGTGCCCTTGGAAAGCAGTGTATAGTCATATAAAAATAAAAGAGTTTAAAAAGCATTCCTGTTTTCAAATTAACACTGAGGTGCTGAATTCGTGGTGGTCTTTGTGATTTGAATTTTGCCCTTTTTTTATCCCTCCCATGCCCTGAGTAAGATGCAAGTCCTGAGGGAAAAACAATCCACGATTATGCACTTGGAGACCCAGTGCATGCAAGGAGCATTTCTGAACTCTATGAACCCTTACCAAGGGGGAGAAAAGCTAATTGTAGTTTTAACAAAACAAACAAAACAAAAATTTAAAAAAAAATTGTTTTGTGTCTTTTTCTGCCACTGTATAATAATTTATAGTAATTTCAGTTGGATTGAGGATTGGTTTTGAAATCGTTGAATGCATGACAGAAATGGTACAGGGCACAAATCAGAGGCTACTTCTGGAAAAAAATAAGTGAAGTTAATATCTTTACATCAGTTTACAGCCTCATCAATGTGTATGATATTTTTCTGCTTCACATTCTCTGTATCCACCACTGCAGTGTTCCTTGTCTTCAGTAATAATCTTAGTTACTCTTCTGTTGCTGTCTCCTGTACCCCGTTAAGGGAGCTTCAAGGGTGGAGAAAATGTCTTTTATAAGTTGTCCTGTGCAGTTGACAAAGCAGAAACACTGCAGTAACAGAGCAAATATAAACCGCTATTTCTTGAATGTTTTGGGTTTTAATTTTAACTTAATATTTTTAATTAAATTTCTAATCTTGCAATGGTTCCTTTTACCATCAGTTTTGATGCTCTGGAGCTCTCAGGTGACGTGCAGAACGGTTATTTTCTGTGACATTAGCTCGTCCCAGGCTGGATGGAGGCTTGTGGAAGGGTGCCAGTGTTGTTGTTCTATTTGCAGGTTGGTCTGGCTGTGTCTGTGTGTGTGTAAGGAGAGGGCAGGCAGGGTATCGGTCACCTTTCAGATTTGAAAATTTCTTAATGGATTAGGCAAGTGATGGAATATCTTTCTTTTTGTGAACTGTAAGCCTTGGCAGTATTAGGAGACAGTCTTTTTTTAATATCTCAGCAGACTTCAGTTCTGTAGCATTAAATGATGAACGTGCTTGAGTGCTCTTTACATTCTCCAAATAAACATCATCCTTCAAGGTTTTCACTTGGGGTTTTTTCAGTTTTTTTTTTCCCTCCCTCCCCACAGGATCCCTTGGATCCAACAAGAACAGCCATTGTGATCAGCTCCTTGGTGGCAGGTGGAGTAGCTGAGCGTGGTGGGGAGCTGTTACCGGGGGACCGCTTGGTCTTCGTCAATGAGAAATATTTGGACAGCGCCACTTTGGCAGAGGCAGTGGAAGTGTTGAAATCTGTGCCCCCAGGTACAGTTTCTCTTGGAATCTGCAAGCCTTTGGTGGTAAGGACTGATTTTAACTTTTTTTTTCCTTTGATCCTGTGACGTGTTGACTGCACTGTTGTATTTGGGGGGAGAATTTAGAATGGAAGTATGTGTGCATTTGGAAAGCAACTAAGTTGCTGTGCATACACCTTGACATGTCCAGAAATCCTGGCAAATGGGCATCTCAAAGTCCAAAAGGTCTGGGTCTGACTGGAAAACCAGCATCCTCAAGTTCCTCCTTAAAGAACATCCACGTGGAATCAGGAGACGTGTCTGGGCAAACCCATGTGCACTGTGCATAGGTGTAACGTGGTTCAGGCAATTCAGCAAATCAGTTAAATATGTGCTGAAGTCCATTTCACTCTAAGACATTGCTAAGTGCTTGCTTGAGCTCCACTGACATCAAAGAAACTTGATCTGTTTGAAGTCAAGACTGTAAATTCAAGCAGAATTTCCTTTTTCTAGAATCAGGGCTTTGGAACAGACAGTAGTTTACTGGAGAACGCTGCACTATTGTTCATCAAGGGCACCCAGGCAAAATTAATTAAAGCCCCAGCTAATAGAAAGTGCTTGTAATTCAAAGTGGTAGATGAGTGGTGAAATAGGAATGTAGGAAGGCTGTTAAATATATTCTTTTCTTTTCTAAAATGTGATATTTCATTGTTCATGTCCTTGTATTTGTCTTTCTTTCCAAAACATCTCTATTTTTTAGTGTATCTGAACCAGTATCTTCAAAAAATAGACACTGTTGTCTTCATCTTCTCCATTTATGACTTTCCACTTTTATAATTCTGTAACTTTTTCCCTATCTCTTTTCTAATGGTTGATTCTCTCTCTCCCTTTTAATTTATTGAAAAATGTGGGAATTTTTTTGTTGTTTTCCTGACTCATCATTTGGATTGCCTTCTCTAGGGAGAAAGCAGAGAGGAGGAGAACATGCACAGTGTGGATACCAGCAGCATTAGAACCAGCCCTGGGTCTCCAGAACCAATAGATAACACTAATTTCTCAATAATACTTGAAGCGCCACAGGTATTTGGTTATTTTTTTCGTTCAGCTTAATTTTATACAGACAGGAAATGATATTTTAAAGTAAAAAATTAGTATTTTTTGGAGATAAGGCCGAAGTATTGTGTAGACTTCAGGCTGGATCCCCTCTGAAAAAGCCTCTAACAGCAAACTGTGTGCAAAGTGTGTTGCGAACAGGGAACACTTACCAATGCAGTTCCCAGACTGCCTTATCAAATTTATTATGTCATTAAAATACCTTAGGTTACCTTGGATATGAAATAAGAATGCTGTGTTATTATTACCCATAAGTAGTAGGTTCAGCTTTGCAAAAGAAGTAAGGTAAGGAAGGAGAATGCTTTTAATTATAACGAAGCAAAACAAAAAAGTAGTTTAGTGTATAAGTCACACTTGAAATATGTTCTTCTTTATAGCCTTCTGATGTTCTTTGGAGTGATTTCTTTGCCCTCTTCCTCAGTTCTCCTCTTTCTTATTCTCTGTGAAAATAATTCTCTTTATTGTGGGAGGATGTGGCACTAAAGATAGTGAGAAACTCAAATACTGAGGTAATAGGCAATAATATTGCAGTACTCACCAGTGCAGAGTTAGAGACATGTGGATATCTTTTAATTTTCATCTGTTCTCAAGCGCTTTGCAGACTTCACACTGGTAAATGCATCCTTTTTAGACCGGAAAAGACAATGCCAGGATCCTCCAGAACTGAAACAGGAAGAAAAATAAATTCTACATTTTCTTGTAGCTAAACATATTTACCTATCTCTGAATGCAAACATTTTTAATACTGAAATTGCATATTAGAACCACCAAAAGGAGCAGTATTATGGGGCAGATGTAGGTATACTATGAAGAAATTAATCTGGGTAATGATAAATGATATTTACCAATTTTCATGGTGTAAAATGGAGTTTGTTCTTTTACAGGTGCATAGGAAGGGTTCCTGGCAGAGAATTAGTCCTCTGCTAGCTCAGATTGTTTCTCTGCTTCCTAAATAAAACTAATGTTACTGAGTATTTTTAAAGAAAGTATTTTATCTAAAAGTCCTGCTGAATATAGAAACTGGACCTAAGAGGCGTTTGGTTGCATTTTGTTTCACCTCATGTATGAGAGCATTGGTAGTGGCTAAAATTTCCATCCATTCATTATCTTATCTGCTCACATAAGAGCCAAGAGTGGTGCGTCATGATGGCTCCCACTCTGATGTGCTGACAAAGCTGAATTTCAACCAAAAAAAAAAAAAAAAAAGGAACTTGGATATTTTATTTGCTACCACAGTAGACTTTATGTCATATTTGCAGCATTCCCTGTGCCATTGGGAGCGTCTGCTGCTGCAGTGCAGCAGTCAGGGATGATACAAAGCGAACTGCTGGATCAGTAACACAAACTGTGTGTGGTTCTGAGCTCAGGCAACTGTTTTATGTAATGATGGAGCTGGTGGAAGTGTTGGGAGAATGATGCTGCAGGATTGAAGTGAAACTAAATGGAATAAAGATGGAGAGAATTAGGATCTCTTCAGACAGGGTGTTTTGTGAGATCGAGGTACACAAGTCAAATAGCTTAAAGGAACATTTAATGCTTATGAAAAGTTGTGCTGATTTCTAGATTGCTGATGTTCTGCTTTTGTGCCAGCTGGTATTGACTGCATTGTTTTCTCATGCTCTTGTCTCTCTCTTGTTTTCTCTCCTGCCTCTCACTTGAATTGTACAAACATTTTGGCAGCATCTGAGGGTTTTTCTTCTGCATTTGTACAAATGCAACAACACAGGGTTCTGATACTAAAGGTCAGAAATGGTTCAGTACCTTAGGGAGTCTGGGAAGGGGCAGGAAGCAGAAAGAAAAACATTTTTAGTGAGGAGCCCTGAATCTGTACATTGGTTTTGGAATTTGGGGATTCAGGGCCTTGAAGATGGGTTTGGGCATTCTTCAGGCCACACAGACTTGGTGGCCTGACAAAGGAAGGTAAAACCTTTCTGTGTGTAGCACGTTTCTGGTTCAGGCATAAAATATCTGATGCCTGTGCAGACTCACTGTGAGCCAATGATCAACACTCCGTTCTATTTGGGAGAAACAGGGAGCACTGGAAACTGGGGAGGCACACGACAAATCCCAGGAAAGGAGCTGTTGAGTGAGATCTTTCAGTGTGGATTTTCATACCTTTTCTCTTGGTTTTGTTGTTTGTTTTTGGCTTTTTTTTCCTGTGACTTGAATTTAATAGAAAAGTGAGCACTGTTCCCTTTAAAACAGAAAGGGCATTATTTAATGATCCTTTTATATCCTTTTCTTTGAGTATGTGGGTCATCCATTTCCTCTCTGACCCAGGTCAAATATTGTATGGAATATCCAAGGTAGTGCAAAGGACTGTGGCTTTTGATTAGTGGGTGTTTTGGGGTTTTTTTAATTGCTGATATTGTTGCATGAGCAAACTCTTCAGCTATTTTTTATTTAGCTGATCATATTGTAAGAAATGTACATAAAACAGGTAAGTCTGAAACACGGAGATACTTTAAATGGATTTATATATACTTTTTCCTATAGGTTTATTACTGTTAATTAATAATTTTCAGTCCCTAACTTTTTTTAAATGACTGCAGCCATATCTAAGCTGTGCAACTTTAATTCTGTTATATTTAAAAAAATTCATTGCACTGTCTACTTTTGGCATTAAAATCATAAGTCAGTCTGTTTTCTTTTAGAAAATGCAAAAGGTAGAAGATTTTCACTTTAAAAATCAGGATGTACTTTTATGATGAGTAAAAAACCATAGTTTTAAAAGAGTTAAGAGGAAACATAATGTAAAATCTGTCTATATTCCTGTAATGTTCTGTGCAGGGTTTCAGAGATGAAACACCTTTTAAAGAAGAACTTGTTGATGAACCACATTTGGACTTGGGAAGGTCATTTCAGCTTTCTCAAAATGACGATGAGGATGAGAGGGAGTCCTGGGAGATGTGTGAATTCCTGAAACCCAGAACAGAAGACATGGATGAAGAACGGGAAATGCTGGTGGATGAGGAGTATGAAGACGACTTCCTGAAATACAAAGCATCCTGTGGGCAGAAGGCAACTCCAGACAGGAACCTCGATACAGAACGATGGGCAAAGCAACTAGAGAGTACTGAAATACAAGACTTGAGATCCAGTGTTAATTTAAGTCCAGAACAGTCCCTGGAATATCCATTCAGTAAAGATCAAATGGTAAGGAATGCTATGCTGGTCTCAGTGGTGTACCCTGACCATGGAACCCAGACCTAAGGGCAAAGTCTAGACCTAAACTCTGTTTAATTTAATTACTTAGGTACCTCTAACGGAAACCTTCTGTACGTTTTGGAAGGTTCTTTTGATTACTTGTTGGATGCATGTCAGTAACGGCAGAATGTCACTACATGGTTTTAATAGACATGGGGCTTTGCTGAAAGGAAGTGAAATTTTTAATCCAAATCACTTCCTTTAGCCAGATGATAGTGCAGTTGAGTGAAAAATGATATGGTGGAAGCAATTGTAACAAGGATATTGGTGGATAAAGGAGTAGGAGAAGACAGAGCTTCAGGTAAATTACAGAACTCCCGTTTATATGTCCTTCTCAAGTATTCTGAGAGTTATTTTTTTCCTCCTGATTCTTTGTTCATTCCCTTACCAAAGAAAAAAAGTGATAATATCAACCTCCCATGCACCAGCTTCTGAGATGTGTGCTTTTATATCCAAAAACTGAAGTGGAAAAGGATTTAACATCACAGCCACAGAGAATTTCAGGTTTTGTCAGGCTCGTCCCTTTACGCACTATGTGCATAAACAGGCTAAAATGCAGCTTCTACTGAAAGTTTTATACCAGAGTGCATGATATTAAATTTATATATCTGTTACTTATAAACAACAAATGAGCAGGAGTAAAGAACTTTTTGTCTGAATTACATCGAGAGAAAGATACAGTTGCTTTATATTGCAATTGAATGTCACATTTTTCATGCCTCTTCTTAATACAGTGCATAAATGAGCAGTTAGTATTTAAATAAGTAGTTAGTATTTCATAGTTATCTGAATAAATATGAATGTGGCTGAGAAAATGTGTATGTTTGCTGTAAAAATTAATGTTCCTGTCAAATACCTCTGTGTAAGTTAAAACCATTGCTTTCTAATTTTAATTACTTTTTTTCTCCTCTGTGAAGTGTGAAGAAAATGCTACTATAAGGTCACTCTTTCCTGAAACCACAGCACACAGTGGTTACCAGAAAGACATCTTTGATATTGAAACTAGTCAGTCGGAAGAAAAAAGCAAGATGGATTTAGGTTTGTAAGAAGCTTTTTCTTTACCTTGTAATTTCATATTTACAAATTTGAATTTTATACCAAAACACAAATTCTTTCAAATAATACAACATTTAAATGAAGACTTTTGCAGGCTCAACACAGTCTGGGCAGGTTTATATTAGAATTTATGAAGAAATTCTTTAATCAGAGGGTGGTGAGGCCCTGGCACAGGTTGCCCAGAGAAGCTCTGGCTGCCCCAGCCCTGGAAGTGTTCAAGGCCAGGTTGGAATGGGCTTGGAGCAACCTGGTCTGGTGGAAGGGTCGAATGAGATGAACTTTAGGGTTCTTTCCTGCCCAAACCATTCCATGATTCCACGATCTTTACACACAGTTGTCACAAATGATACTGAAATGGGCTGCAGCTTTGTCCTGCCTGTGGAAATCACTTTATTCTGTGTAGCCAGTGTTTGCAGGAGGACTCCACCTGTAAGGAAAATAGCTCATTGCTGTAACATCTCTCAGGATTATTTCTCAGTCACTTTTGACTGCTAACTGTGTGGATTTTTGCACTTAAAAAAATTTTTAAAAATTAAATGACAGGTTCTGGAGGTGACTTTACCACAACCACAAGTTTGCAGGGGAACTCTATAGTAGATATTGCCCCATATCTTGGGTTTGTAACGTGTGTTCAAGAGCAGAGTTTCTCCTTGTCAGATGGCCAGACATGGAAGGTTAGAATTTGGTAGATCATCAGGGAAATAAATTTATCAACCTGGCTGAAGTAACACTCCCTGGTCAGGAGGAAGGAGGTTGGCCTGTTTACTGTCTTTGTCACCTGCACCTGTGTAGCAGCCACTGTGTGTGAGCTACAGTGACACACTGGAGCTCTGGTAGTTCCATTAATGTTGATGCTTCTATCACCAAAATGACATCAGTCTTCCCCAGCACGGTGGGATTCAGTGCTGGAGCAGGGCTCTGCTGTCCCTACACAAAGGATAGATTCACCATTCCTAACCATATGTTTTTGTGAGGAGCATCTGACATGTGAGTTGTATTTAAGAATGTCTGAGTTCCACAGAGATCTGATGTTTCCTGTTACTACTTGACTGTATGTACATCAGAAGCGAGGTGCTATAAAAAACTGGTTAGTGTGGTTTAAATTTCCTTCAAAAATAAATGTACTGTATCTCTAAGCCTCCTGATCATCACACAACATCCACATTTCATAGAATTACAGAACCTGGAGTGGTTTGGGTTGAAAGGGACCTTCAAGTCCATCTTGTTCCATCCCTCTGCCATGTGCAGGGACACTTTCCACTGGACCAGGTTGCTTCAAACCCTGTCCAACCTGGCCTTGAACACATTTGGAACCTGGTGAGCTAAGGGTTTCAAGGATGATAACTGATCAGTGCAGGGACAGAGGAAGTAAAAATTCTCATCTACCCATTTTCTTCTTCAGGGACAAAGCTGCAGATTGACTCTAAAGGATCTGGGCTTGCTATTGATTTGGAAGCTATTGAAAAGGAAGAGCTAAAAGGAGAGAATGATGTTTTCTCTAAGAACCTGGAATCTGGGAGAGTAACCACCTTAGCTCAACCTAGAACAGTGTCATGCAGGTATGGAGAAATATTTCAGGTTCTGAAAGACTTTCAGTTAAAAATCTTAACTGTCTTCTTGCTTTACTTATTTACTTTACTGACTCATCATTAAAGGCTGTGCGAAATGCTAAGATACATTGATGACTTTTGCCCAAGGAGCTGAAGTTTGCCTTAAAACCTTAAAGCTTCCCATGTTTCCTCCCCTGAGTACTGGGCAGAAAGGTGTGAATGACTCTGCCACCTCCTTCACTTACTCCACGGTGAGGGTAGTATGGATGTGTCCTGGAGGAGAGGGATGTAGCCTTTACAGCAGCATTGGCCCCCCCTTAGCTACTTACTATAGCTCTGTCCTCTTGGTTTTCCCTTTCGTTTGTTCTTCCTTTTGGGAAGAGCAGTTCAACCATGGCTCTCTGCAGGAAACCTTAGTCTTGCCAGTGGTGCTGAGAAACCCTGAGCTGGCACTGTTTTTAGATATTCGCCTTATCTATCAAGTGTCCCAGGTTCCCCAGCAGTTTTGGGTGAGTAGGTAATGGAGCTTTTGGAGCCTGCTGATTCCAATCCTTGGTACTTCCCTAATTCATCTGTAATCTCCCCTTAGAGGGAAAGCAGCTCAGCAGTAAGGTGAGGGGATTATTCCATAGCTTTGGAACACACAGGATCTGTTCTGGTCTCCCAGCTGCATGATGATCTGCTTTCTGGTCAGCTAGGCTGGTTTTGGCATGTTTATGTCCCTCTCTAAGCATCGCGGCATATTTATCAGAAAGTAAATGTTAAAATTGCTTAAATAGTCATTTCAAATGAGTAAATGCAGTGCAGATTTGTATATCACAGAGCAGCTTATAAATTTGGTCTGCCCATCATGTTTATTTCTGGAGCATTCCTGAAGTACATTTAAACCTAAATACAAAAATTCCTGTCTAGTCTGTTGACTCTGTACATTTGGGTTAAACTGGACAGTGTGAGAAGGTGTTGCTGTCTTGCTGCCAGATACAAAATATGTAAGGAATTGTGACCTGGCATGGGTGCTGCCTCTTCTATTTTTTATTCTTCCCTCCCTCTGCCCCAAATTAGTGAATTACCCGAGAGAGAAGAAGGAGAAGGAGAAGAAACTCCAAACTTCAGCCACTGGGGACCACCACGGACGTATGTTCATATAATTACATTATTCCTTCCCATTTACCTTATGTCTTTTTTTCTGTGAGCCCAATTAGTTCTCGGTTTTTTTATTCCCCTCCTCTGCCAGTAACTTTAGGGTACTTGTGTACCTTGGGCTTTCCTAGATACAGTGAATTTTTAACAGATGTTCAACAGAATTATGCCTTCTATTTATACAGCTGACTTGGGAAAGCTTGGCTGGTTTACGTTGTGGATGACCTACAAGTTCTTGCTCATTTAATAACTATTAGGTGTGAACAATGCACATAGTGCTGCTGTCTCCCTTTCCACGAGTTCCCTGCTAAAATCCATGGCACAATTCCAAATTGCCAGGCTAACTTTTAGCCACATCCTTGTTGTATTGTTAACATTTTTAGGTGAATTGTTTTTATAGTTCTGAGTAAAATATGATCAGAAAGTTCCTGCTTAAGCTGATTAATGCAGTGTTCAGAAAGTTGTATGAAACACTGTAGTAGTTGTCTAGTGTGCCACTTGCAGGGCTTCCCATTTCCAGACAATTTGCTCAAGCTGAAAGAGGATGAGTGTTTACTTGAAGATCTGACTTCCTCTGAAAGAAAAAGGAAAGCCTCTGCCCAGTGGACCTGGATTGGCAACAGAATTGTGTTCTTTTTGTAGGGTGAAATCTACTCAGGGTAAAAACTCTGTTGAGAGCATTCTTAGGCTTCTGACTTTATCTCTTTACTCTGTTAAATCTCCTTGAAAGACCAGGAGCTTACATTTATTTAAAGATTCACATTTATAGTTTAAATAAACTGTTTGAAGATGTTAAACTACCACACGTATTTTTTCAGTGTTGAGATCTTCAGAGACCCTCACGTGTCTCTTGGAATCAGTATTGTTGGTGGACAAACTGTCATAAAGCGCCTGAAGAATGGAGAGGAACTTAAAGGGATCTTTATCAAACAAGTTTTGGAAGACAGCCCAGCAGGAAGAACCAGGGCTTTAAAAACTGGAGATAAAATACTTGAGGTAAATGGAGATAAACCTGCCTTTTTAGTCTAAGAAATAAAGATTGACTCAAACAGCTTTGGGAGGAGAGAGAGACAAAATACTACCACCACTTCATGAAGTATTGACAAAACTGTGTTTTTAAAACCAAAAGAAACCTCTGGTGGTGTCTTTTTTTTTTCTAAGGTCTAACTGTGGAGCTCTTTTAACATTCTCCTTTATATTTAAGAAAAGACATGTCCTGGTGTCTGAGGGGGAATGAAAAAAATGGGAGTGGTCTCTTCCCATATAAATGAGTAATAAGTTATAGCATACCTATAAGCATAATTTTAACACAGAGAAGAACATGGACTCTTCATGCTGAAATATGGGCTGTTATTTAGTGTGTGTGGACTTAGAGTAGATAACTGATTAACTGCTACTTGGGGCAAATCCCTGATTCTGGCAGGTGATGTGGGGGAAATTGTCATTCCTGCCCCTCACCTGTGACTCAGTGTTGACTTTTTTACTCATTATTATCCAAATTAATACTTCTGAATCAGGGTTCCCAAGCTGATAGTGCTGCTCAGGTTTAGTTTAAAAACAGGTAAAATCTGAAAGAGTTATATTACACCTAACATTATATAACACTGACAATCTTATTCCTTATGTTTTTATCTGGAAAAATTGTTTTGGGAGACGTATGGCCATCTTTTAATTGTGATTTCTAAATAGTACAATTTTCCTTAAACCACTATGGAAACATACTTTACAAATAATTCCTCTCGACTGTTTTTGATACCTTCCTCAGAAACACTAATCTTCTGCAAGTGTGTGTGATCTCTTGCAATGACTCTCTACCTAATAAAAATAAACATTGTTTGTTAGGTTTCTGGGATAGATCTCCAAAATGCCACCCACGAGGAAGCAGTAGAAGCCATCAAGAACGCGGGAAATCCTGTTGTGTTTGTAGTTCAGGGTCTGGCTAACGTACCAAAAGTAAGTTTATTTCTGTTTTTAGTCCAAAACTTAATAAATTTTTAATATGCATCTTATTTTAAGCTTGGCTCAACTCCTTTCAGCAAGTTCCATCAATTTTTGTGTCCAAGGATGGATCCTTTCAGTTATAGACCAGTTGATTGATTGATTACTTCTCTGGCCTGATTTGAAACCTCATTTCTCTGATTTACCTTGAGTAGATATAAATTGGCTGACTAGGTGTTAATTCAGCTCTCCCACCTGTGTAATAAGAGTCTGGCCCTGTGTATTTAATTTGTCCATATTTCATAATCTAAAAATATACTCTGTTATGCGGGGGAACAAAGGTGTAATTAAAATTAAAATTAGGCAGATTCACACCATCAGCTCCATGTAAAATGTGTCACCAAAGGGACCTGAAGTAGTTATTTGGGAGCAAGTTAATTTCCAAGAGGTTTTAGGTATCTCCTCATCTTTGAGGTCAAGGCAGGAATTTTTAACAACCTGAGTAAGAAAAGGCATACAATTCTGCCTACACTGAAGTATACACAGAAACCCCAAATTTTTCTGTGCTTTTGATGTAATCTGAGAAGTTAATTGGGAATTTTGGTAGATTTTGGGGCTAGATATCAACCAGTGAGCAGTAGAAATAAGTTTGGAATGTTTGTAAGTTCAGAAAATAATATAATCCATTAAATTCAGTAAAAGAATATAATGTAAAGACTGCACTGCAATGCCCTTCTACATGGGGTAAAATGAAGACAGTACTGGGTAACTTTGTCACTGTCATGACCTGATTTGGGATGGGTTTTTTGCAGTTGTAATACTCTTTCTAATGTGTGTAATATGCACTGTTTTTCAGGTGGTTGCTCCCTCCCAGCCTAAGGGAATCAAAGTCAGCAAAGATCAGGATGCAGGCAAAGAAAATAAGAATGATAAGGTATTTATTCCATTCAAATCTATACCTAAGTTTTACTGAATCAAATGGTATAATAGCATGTATCATAACTCTATGATAAGCTTTCTCTGAAGTCTGACATTAAATTTAAAGTGATTTGTTGAAATATCTTTGATTCTATGAATTTTTGCCAAATGTCTGCCAAATACAAGGTAGGTTTCTGACAAATATTCTTTGGGTGTCTGCTGGGTGCTGAAACCCTGTACTTAGCACAGCTCCTCACTGTCATGTCTCTGAAGTACCTGTTTTGCTCCATGTGGAGGCAAATTGATTCCCTTTGTTCAGCAGAAACAGAGAAGTAGCAACATGTACACAAATAATATCCTTAATCTGAGGCTGGCTGAAATTCAGTAAAATCATGTTATAGGATAATTAAATCCACTGAGTCTCCTGCATTTCCCATAGCTGTGTAAAACAAGGAAATGACCGAGGGATCTGTAGCTGCTCAGCTAATTGTGAAGTGGTTACTGCGCAGTGACTTCCAAATAACTTCACAGCAGTTTTAAAAGAGAAGAAGTCTGGTATAAGTGAATTTGTTTTAATGGCTGCAGTAAGGGAAAATATTAATTTCTCATTCCCAGCCATGTCACTCACATGGTCTGGTGATTTCCTCTGGGAATTGCCCTGACTGAGGAGCGTAGATCAGGTACTTTCAGAGTGTCAGAACTGGAGAAGCAGAGACAGAATTAATGCAGACACTAAGTTTTGCTGGTGCAGTTTAATATGCCAACTACAAATAGGATGAACTTTTCATTTGATCCTACTCAGTACTCTGGGTACCTGAAAAGACCCTCTTGCCTCCAGAATTTTTCCTTTCAGGTACAGAAAGCTACAAGGCTCAGCTATTCAAAAAAATCAGGAAGGTGTTGAAGATATGCTTTCATGCCAGTGGATAATACTTCCAATGAAGCAGTTACAATCCCCTTTTCTTGGTTTTTTTATCTATATTTCTAATCTCAAAAGCTCTCATCCTCTTGCAATGTGCTGCCTTTAATCTCCAGCACTCTGGTGTGTCACGTTCTACAGCGTTCCGAGGTTAAAGAGGGAGCCTCATTTTTTTCAAACCTTTTTCATCTGTTGGTGCTATAAACTGGTGGGTGGAATAAAGAGCTTCAGTGCATAAATATGTAGCTCCTTTTTAGCTTTGAACGTTAATTCACAAAGCAGTCGTACTGCGCTTCCGAAGTGCCATCTCAGAGTTGGAAAGAGTTGCTATTAGTGGATTATTAGTCCACATCCCTATGGGGAATCAGTGATATTTCTAGTCCAGTCTTCAAAGTGTCACAAAAGAGTTTGGTTTGAAAGCAGCCTCATGCAGCTGAAAACCTGCCTTTTCCTGTACGATGAATTATTTTTTCAACACTGAAGGTTTTGCTCCATGTGTTGGTGTTTATCCTCCTCTGTTTATGTGTTTGTTTAAAAATTATCACTTTATTTATATAAAATCACTTAAAACAATTGTGGACAAACCAGATATCAACATTATTTTGCTTCTTGGCTGTGTAAACTGTGCTTTTGCCTTTGTGTTACTACAAAAAAGTGGTGTAATAGAGTAGTCAGATATAATTTATTCATCTGGTTTTTCAGTGGGGCAGGAGGGATGAGAGAAACTTGTCCCTCTGAGCCTTACAAAGAAACCATGGATAAGCTTAAGTGTCTCAAGTAATTTCAAACATACTTTCTAACAAATGTTTAAGGTCTTAAAAAGCCAAAGGGTCAACATTTAGACTATAAGTTATTACTAAATTATAGTGATAATAAAGTGACTTATTTGTCATAGGCAGCTGAAAGGAAGGCTGCAGGTTTTCCATTTTTTTTCTGCTCAGTAAAGTAGAACGTGAACCTTTTCATGCTTCCTGGATCTTCTGGATTTTGCACAGTTCTATCTGTGCTGGCTTCAAGAAAAAAGTGGGAGGCATGTCTGGTGTATTGTATACTTTTGGAAAACAGCTGTTGTATTTCCAAGTGGATTGCATTAATTGTAAATATTATTGCTTTTTTGTTTCAGCAGAAAAAAGTGTTGCAGCACTTTCCCATTATGTTTTTTAAAAGGATGAGATGGTAGTTATCTTACCTCACCAGATTTTCCATATAGCTTGCAGTGCAGCTTCCTAGTTACACTACTTTGTACAAATTTAAGCTCAAGATTTTAAAACTCCATACACAGGTTCAGCTTTTGTTGCACACGGTGAGAAAACATTATTCTGGGTTTGCTGTTTGGGTGTTGTGTCATATTTCCCAGCTGTAGAAGAAATTAATTACGGGCTTTGTGGGTGCTCTAATGGCATCTTGTCCACGGTGTTCCCTTTCTAAAGTGCATCCTGCTATTAGTAAGGTTGCAAGGGATGCAGCTCAGCGTCATTTAGTGAAATCACATTGCAAACTAAGGCAGGATCCAGTTCCTGGGAGCTATAAAACCAGTTGCTCGGCCGAAAAGTGCCTTCATTAGAGTCAGAGCCTGCTCTGTATTCCTGCCATGCACCGCTATATGCATCATTATAGGAGCTGCCTGTATTTATGTGAGGTAATAGAATTTTATTGTGAGATATAATTCAAAACCTTTATTAAATTTAAGCCAAAATAGGGATGAACTGTGATGTTTAAATATTCATATATGGACTAAGAGGTTTGAGTTCTTATTTTGTATGTGAAAGTTTGACATTTATCAGCACCAGAGAATTTTGTTATTGAGTCTGTAACAAGAAACAGGGTGTAATTTAATGTTTATTTTTAACCCTTGAATAATGTCCACACTTTCATGTTTATGACAATACAGAAGTATTTTGTCAACAAGTAAATGTGCATGCCCAACTGTGTTTTATTTTCTTTTTTTAATGTTCAGTGTCACTTCTTGTTCTGCTTTCTTGCACGAAAAGCCTTTGCTGCAGAATTTAGCATTGTAATTAAGTGCTGTGTCTGTGCACGTACAGTGACAATAGACAATAGGATTTTTTTCGTGTGCAGGGAGGTTACAAAACATGTAACTGTTTGTCTTTGAATCCATCAGAGAAAATATGGGGCTCCACCTCCTATGAAACTGCCACCTCCTTACAGAGCCCTTGAAAGGCTGCACGCAGAGGAAGCTGCCGTGGATGAAGAGGAGGATGAGGATGCTTGTGCAGAGAGTGAGTAGTGCACAATCATTACGTCAGATTATGCTTATGGAACTCAATCAGACTATGATAAAACCTGTCTGCCATTTATTGTTGTGTTATGGGCAGTAGTGCTCAGTGTGGCTGTAGCGTCCAGTCCCCCACCTGATACATGACTTAGATCATCTCTTCCCAGCCAGCCTCCTATAGCTCAGCTCTTCTGAAAAGATACAGGAAGGGCTCTGTTTATTTTCAGTCTAAAAATGTCTAAGCCAAGTCCTCTAGACTTGCTTGGGCAAGGCAGATGTTATGTTTTACTATTGTAATTGCAGTGTTAGTTGAGTAGTGATAGGCTGAGAACCACTGGTGCATAGTCCTTGTCCAGAAATCCTGCAGGTGATTCCAGACAATGCTGTTCAAGCAAGATGATTTCCCATTAAAAAAAAAAAAATCTGCTGATTTATTTTTTGTACTTTACTGAAAAAAGGAACGCCCTTTTTTTTTTTTTTTTTTTTTTTTGTAGCACCTTTTATGGGAAAGGTTTTGCAGTTCTCCCATTTCAGGATTTGCAGTGAATTACGACAACATGCACTCTGTGAAAGAGTAGGGACCTAAAGAGTAGAATGCAGTGGAACTTGAGAGCTTCTGGCAGCATGACTTAGATTCCAGCATACTGCTTTGGTAAAATGGAATATTATTATCCAAAGCTTATTTTCCACTAGAATATTTAAAAATACTAGAATTGCAGTTAGGAGCCCTAAATTACCTTCTAAAATAAGTTACCTTCTGTTTTTTATTTTTATGCTCTTTTGTATCAAATGAACCTAAAGGTGGGATAAGGCCTTGAGCAGCTTGGGACTATGTGATCTTTAAGGGCTCTTCCAATCCCGTACACTCTGTGATTCTCTGTGGGCTTTTGATGGGGTTTGGTTTGTATTTTTTTGCTACAGTGGTTTTTTCTCATCATCTTTTGTCTTGGAGAGGTTTTTGTTTGCCCTGGTTATGGGTCAGCCAAAGCAGAGGGTTGCCTTTGTAGCTTTTGACCTTGAACCACCTGTGGCTCCCATTCAGAGTGGAAGCCCCTAACTTGGGGCCTGCTGGTGGGAAAGCTCTTCCAGCTGCTCTTGCTGATTTCCTTGGCAGTGGTGTGCCATTGAAGCTGAGATAATTAATGAGTTTGGTTGGTTTGTCGCTTTTAGGGCTGCTTTGGTGGAGACAAGAAGGATTGTTCTCATGGAAACAGTAATGGGTGCAGAGGAGGAGTGTGTTTGGGTCTGCCTATGTTACTTTGAGGGAAAGCTGTGAGCTCTTGAACTGAGCTCCTTCCAGAATTCCCCCTTACTGAGTTTGTCATCCCACTGGTTTGAAGTATTCCACATAGTTACCTCAGGAAGGTTTTCCAGTGTTTCTGTGGGGAGTGGTAGTGAGGGAGGAATAGTTGACTGCAGACTCTGGGGATGTTGGATTGAATTTATCTTGAGCTTTCAAACAGACTCAGTTAAACTCCAATAATAGCAAACTCATTTCAGCTCATTATTAAAGTTATAATTCCCAGTTAAAGGATATATGTGATAAGCAGGCTGACACCTGAGTTATCTAATTAGGATATGCCTCAATCCAAGAGCTTGCTAAACCTCAGTTAAGATTTTGCTCAGAAATAATTCCTTATTCATGGGCTTGGTCATTTTTTAGCTGTTCTGCCATCCCTAACGATATTACCGGCTGAGTCTGAAAGCGCAAAAGGTAAAGCTACTTCTGATATTAAATTCATCAATCCTACCAGACTTGGCAGCACCACACAGATCTGTTCAGAGGAATCTCCTTTTCTCTCCCCTTTTTACTGACTGCAAGTGTTTTGCAATAGCCATCTTTTCCATGAATCTTGGAAAACCAAGATGTGCATTTTCCATTTTATTCTTCCCCCACCTCGTTCTTTTTCTTTCAAATAAAAAAACAGGCTAAGGAAGCTTAAACAAAGTTTGTGCCTCAACCCTTGAAGTAAAAAGCAAGTTAGAAATGATCCAACTGTACTTAATGACATTAAGCATCTCAGCAGCTGTGGAATGGGCTTTTACAGAGTCCCTATTCTGTGATCACTTGAAAAACAAAGTTTTCTCTGTAAATTCCAATACAATATTGTTTTTGTGAACTGCTTGATGTTCATAACTTCTGTCCTGATTCTTGAGCACCTTTTCCAGAAATCTCAACCCAGGCCAGCACTTGTCTTTTTAACACTGTCCATTTGCATGTTCATATGGATCTCTTCCTTACCCACTTATCCTACTAATTCTGCTGGTTTTGTAACTTCAGTAATAAGTGAACAGGTGAGGTAGATTTGTTGTCTTCCTTATTTAGAAGATAAGGTATCTTAAAAGGAAGGGGTGGTGTCAGCCTAGGTAAATTCACATCATAACCTCTCATTCTTTCATTTGCTTCCTATAGTTCTCCATCTATTTCATAGCATGGAAGGCCTTGGAGGGCGTTTTGAGGTGGGACAGCTCTTAAATCTGTCCTCTGGTTGTGCTCCTGATGGATTTTATTTTCTTTTTTAGCATTCTTATTAATACAGCTGCTGTGTCACAAACCTGCTCATCAATTTCTTTCATACTCCAGAAATACTTTACTTGCTCCACTTGACATTTTTTCTCCTTGTTTGTCACTTCTTTGAACCCATCCTCTCATCTTTTGTCTCCACGTCCTTCATCATTCCCTAGACTGAAAATGAAAGCAGAGCATTGTTAGTCTTCCTGCCATGCTTAGAAATTTTTTCTTTCCTTTCTATCCCATCCATACTGCCTCACAGTCTCTGTGTTTTGTCTGTTTTCTCCTTAAAGTGGCTGAAAACCCTTTTGGTATTGATTTAATCTCCCCTGTGGGAGCTAAATCCACTTGCCTTTTGGCAATGCTCCCTTTTATTCCTGCTTTTCCACTACTGAAACTGTAGCTTTCATTGCTGACTTGTTGGAACAAACAGTAATTTCTTGTAGATGTTTTCCCTTTTCTTTTCAAGGGTTGTTTTTCATCCAAAAACGGTGAATCCTTGTTGGGAATAGAACTATGAGGTACCTCTTGGTCTAGAGAAACTCCAGACATGGCCTCCATGTTTCTGTAGTTTGAGAAGTTTAAAGTTCCAGCTGTTTTGTTGTTTATTTTTTTCAAATGTGACTTCTTGCACCCAAGACCCTTAAGTTTCAGATCTGCTTCTCCTTTATATTTCTGTTTCATACCACCAGTACTTCCAATATTATTTCTTAAGTTCTTAGATTGTTTTTCCTAGACTTTGAAGGCAAGTTGAAAATACTGTTTCCTCTTGGTTTAGTTCTTCTAGTGATGCTGTTAAATCTTTATCAGTACCCAGCTCTAACACTGTATGACGCAGCTTTTGCTTTCTCTTTGCTTTGACTTTACTGTTTCAGGGCTTTCAGTTAATGCTTCAAAATAGTTTTTGTGCAACTTGCACTGTGTGCATCCTGCTGCAAAAGGAGCCTTCAAAATCCATCTTCCAGACCTGAAAAGATTACAGTTACAACATAGGTTTGGAGTTATTCCTTCCCACACTTGTCCATGGCAGAGGTTATTTTGGAGAAAGAGGTTTTTTTAGATTTCCCAAACCTTAAAACCATAAGGTTTTGAATAGGATTTTTTTTTTTAAATCAAAACAAGTAAAAGAAGGGGAGAACATACAAAGGAGCTGTTTGTACTTGGAGCAGCTGTGCTGTAACTGCATCAATAGGCATTGGTGTGTTTTCCTGGAGTGGGGGATGGCTGGAGGTGTGCACTAAGAATCTGCTAATGGACTAATGTGCACCCCGTTGTGGCCTATTGCTATAATGAGGGGTTGGTAGTAAAAAGAAGCAGAGGAAATGGATGGGCAGAGTAGTTTGTAATGGAATGTTTCATAAGGTTTTCCTTGGGGGAATTCATAACTGTACAGTTTAGATATACTTTTGTAACTGAGTTGAAGCAATCATAAATTAAATAGGAAAGGCCTTAAAAGCCATTCTAAGAAAACTAAAAAAACAACTGTTGAAAGAACTTGAAATCCTTAGTTTCAATTGCTGTTACATTTTTAGTAAAGTAAAATCTTTTGCCGGTTAGTTGACTGAGATTGATCTGGTTGGTTTCAAATAAGTTGAAAATCATAAAAATAGATAATAATAAAAAATTTGTGGAAGGTACTTAGATAATGGACTAAGCTACTGCTGTGCTCAGACTTCCTGACTGCAAGGGTATTAAACTATATCTAATAAGGGGATAATAATGCCCCCTTCCTTTTATTTTGTCTCTAGATAATGTAGAAATCAATGAAGCTCTAAGAAAGCATAATGATTTATCCTACTAAAATGCTTTTTGAGGTTGGTCGTTTCTCTACCAAAGCAAGAGATTTTAAAACTTCTCTAGTATTTGACTCTTCATTTGTTCCTGTGAGGGTGGTGAGGCCCTGGCACAGGTTGCCCAGAGAAGCTGTGGCTGCCCCATCCCAGGAAGTGTCCAAGGCCAGATTGGATGGGGCTTGGAGCCACCTGGGATAGTGGAAGGTGCCCCTTGAGGAAGGTATAGTGAAGTATATGGGGTGTACAGAAACAGGATCTCAGGAAGTATCTCTGCACTGCTGTGAGTGAGGATGTGAACATACATGATCATCAGCACTTTGGGAAAGCACCAGAATTATTAACAAATTACTGAATAAAAACAAACCCACTCATAATATAATTCTTGGGTATCTGGCTGTCTGGATTCTGTTTTATGCACAGCTGTTCTAAAACAAAGGAAGAGCAACCCTAAATTTTGCTTTGATTTGGGGTGGGGGGTGGTTACCAGAAAACATTGATCTTCAGTTGAGGCAGCTCATGTAGCCAAACACTGCCTCTCCAATAGATGTCACTGCAATCAACAGCAAATAGAGATGATGTTCAAAGAGGAGGATGTAGCTTGGAAGAAAAGGCTTCAAGCTTTATGAAAATAAAATATTGAAAAAGTAGTAATTGTAGTATTTAATTTTCTTAAATATAGTAACAAGTGTATCTAATAGG